TGTTGTTCATTGAGCAGTAGAAGAAAGCTCATCCAGGTTGATGCATTGCTTTGATTTCCATCATAAAAGTCAACATGGAACAAGTTAGATAAGAAATGAAATGTGATGATTAGTGAGTTACTGTGCTGGGGCTTATTCATAATGATCTAAGTGAACTTCTCTGTAGTTATGTGCAAACAGCAGCTGGTCTTCTGTAGAGATACAAGTGCAGATGACAAGCTGTGGTCACTGAAAGTAGGTATGACTTGCCTAGTCATGTCTCTGCAAAGTTGTCTAGATGTAGTTACAAGGTAATTTTTACTTTTAAAAGTTATTTTTTAGAGAAGTTTCTAAAAATAAAGCCTTCTTGTCTTTGCTGGGGAAGTCTAAAATGTAGTGTTTGGTGTATTTTTAATTTATTATTATTTATTCTGTCCCTTTGAAATACCAGATGTTTCAAGTCTGGTTCTCACTGTTCCGCTGTAGAAATTTTTGTGTATCTGAATATTTGTATTGTGCCTTAAACAAAGGAAACAGGTGTTGAGTCTTTATTCCAAATGTTTTGGTTTTTTTTTTCTTCTCTAAAATATTAGAACCTATCATAAAAATAGCGAATGAGCAAACTCCTAGTCTGAAAATTATTTTTTCCCTGGTAAAAAATCTTCATAGTATAACAGTGAAGTGAAACAAATCCAAAAAGCCAATGTGAAAAGCTTGTTAATGATGGCAAAAGCAAGTATACCTAAATCAAAAAATGTCTGGGGAGTATGATGATAGATACATGAGGGCTTTTCTAGCCCTCTTGCCTCAGACAATACATGAGATGAATGAGGTGAGAAGTAGCAAAAGAAAGGATGTATCTAAAATGATGAACTAAGGCTGAAGGTTCTGCTCTGTCATAGCCCTTTTGGTTGTGCTGGACAGTGTTCTAATGTAGATGGTGAAAGATTCAACTAATGATTGCACAAATAACATAATCTTTGGATTTCCTAGCTTTTGCTTTGACTCTATTCCTCCAGTTCTAATAAAGCACCCCCTTGAGTTTTAAGAGCATAGTTCTCTCAAGCTGTATGACTGGGTCAGTTCCAGTATAGTAAACATTTAGTAGACTTCTTTTTTTTTAATGCTTGAGTGGTACACTAATACCAAGTAAGTACAAGAAGACAATGCCAAAGTTGCTGTTTTGTCTTTTTTTTTTTTCCTTTCCCACATTTACATTCTTGTCTTTCTGTTTAATTTTCCCCATATTTATTTTCATGAAGTGCTTAGCAGCACTAATGGATTCTTTTCATTAAGAAAGCTTTTACATTTTAGAAAAAACAATACTTCAGGTTAGAACCTTAAAAAAACCCTTGCGACAGCAGAACAATTTTTTAATGTTCCTCTTGATTCTAATACTTACTAAATCTAACCTTTTAAATTGTATTCTTGAATTCATTGTGATTAGAAAGCGATTCCATTCCTTCTTTCTTGTATGTTTATCTCCAGCTCTAGTTAAGACCTAAATTGAGTGTGTATAGCTACATATACATCTTTTTCATGAAGATCTTAAGTATATTCTAGAAACCACAAACTTTATCTTTTTGTCTCAGTTAATCTGATTTGGTGTATACTTTGATTTAGTTTAACTTTTAATTCTATTTACTCATCGGATTTGGATAAATTAGATCTGAAACTTGGCCAAAGATTAGTCCAAGTTGTAGTGGGGCTTCAGGTGAATCTTTTGTTCTGCTCTTTCTCTTTCCTCTGCTTGAGATGTACACCACAAATACTGTCTTCAGGGTTATGGACTACTATTAAGGAAAAGCACCTTGTTCAGACATTCTGACACTGTTTTTTAATTAAGAATTCTGTTGGGGAATGGCCATTAGTATTAATTTTCAGTCTTTATTTTTGGATTTGATTAAGCTGTCTTCTGAGAACTAAAGCCTAATCTCAATTTGTTTAAAAATTATCCTGAGAGATCTTTTAGGTCCATCTTCTTAAGGTTCAGATATCAAATTATAGCTTAATCAATTTTGATTTTCATGCTGTGTGACATTTTAAAGCATTGGTAGGACCCTTTTTTTCGAGAGTACTATTTCTGTAAATGTAAAAAATAAAGCAAAAGCATCACTGATGCCAAAAGCTGCATGTGTCACAGTGAGAGAGGAAGAAAAAAAAAAGCAGATTCTGCCTTTTGCAGTTTATTGTGAAGGCCAGCCATACTGTTTCTGCCCAGCACTGAAGTGCAAAGGCACTTCTCTTCAGCTTCTGCATGACTTGTCTGAGTTTGTCTGTAGGATGGTATGTAGCTATGTAGATTTGTTGTCTCCCTTCTTTTGAGGATGCATGGCTCCTAGGAAGAATGTTAGGGATTACCCCAACTCAGGAAAGACGTAAACAGTAGGAGAGAGCTACATGGTGAGTGAAATGGGGAAAGGAAAGAATAGTGCTATTGATGGTCCTGCATGTCAGATGCAGCTCACATGTTCCTTCCTCAGATGCAAGAGATTGTTGCTCTTCATTAAGTTTAAGCCTGTCCTTTGCTTGCTCATTTCTCTAAGGCACATGACCTTGGAAAAATAGCCACAGCTCATAAGAAGGTAAGATGCAATGTGTCCGGGGTCATTGCTTGCATTTTCTGTGAGCAGCATTTTTTTGCTTGGATATTTAAAAAACAGATGGGAGTATGGAGAATGGAGCAGTGTGTCCACACAGAGGATATCTAGACATATGGAATTGTATTTTACTGCAGTCCAAGCAAATATTTTGGGGTAAAACATGGAAAGGGGAGGAGAGGTGTCGCTTACAACAGTTACAAAATGAATGGTATTCCCTGCCCCAAAAGATGCCACAACTGATCAGCTGTGTCTTGTGAGCTGTTGTTTTATGTGTGCACAGTTTATAATGTACAATACACCTGGCATGTCATTAGGACACCTGTTGCCACAAAAATACAGCTTTATAGTAATACATTGCTCAGATTTTACTTCTTGCCTAGAATTAAGAGAATGCTGGCATTGAATCACTTTGAGAAAAAACTGAATTGAACTGATTGGATTGTTAATGTTACCACGTCTACTCTTCTTTGTTTCTTCTTAATGATATGTGAAATAATTAGTGGTACAGAGAAGACAACACAGCAAATTGATTGTTAGGGACAAGAGAGTTGACAGAGTAGGCCGGTAATTTGTATGGCAGCTCCTCACTTCCAGTATGTCCTTTTCCACTTGCACTGTATTTTAGTTGAGGAGGGAGGCTGTTTCTGTTTTTCTGTACAGCTGTTTTTGTCTACATATACCCTCAGGCAGGGTGAAAACCCATCTCAGTCTACAGAATCTTTTAGATAAGATCCACTAAAGTCAACAGCAAAGAAAACAAAGGCATCTGTTTTATTGCAGAGTGGCCTGTATAGTTCTCTTAAAAATAGTTATTTCTGCTCCCGAAGAAGAAAAGTTACAATAGGAAGAGCCCAAGTAGGTTAGGAATCTGTAGGAGTTCCTAAAGGAATTTATGAGATAGATAAGAAGAAACATTACTTCTCCAAGTGAAAGTGATAATCAAGTAGCAAATGCTCCATGCAACTTTCATATTTTTGTCTGATAATTAACTTCATTTTTAGTTGTAATTTTTTTTACCCTGGGACTACAACAATGCCTCTAGTTTGGCAGAAGAATATCCATTGTATGTGATGTATTTTGTGGTGTTGAATAAAAGCTGGATTATTGGGATATACTCTGATGACACAGAGGAGAAAGAAACGGGAGTGTCAAGTAATGGATTGAAGACAGAAAAGTTGGAAGTTTTTCGACACTGCCACTGGTGAGAAGCATACCCATTAAAGTGCAAATCTTTTAAGTGCATTCACATAATTTCTGAAAATACAAAGATTTTATCTTCATAAAACTGAAAAAATTGTAAGAAAACAAGTTTCAGTGCCCAAGTAAGCACCCTAAGCATGGAAGTAACTCATACTGCTCAATTCTAGTTGATTTTCCTATATCAAACCTCCTTTGCATATCTGTGCGTGACAGTTAATCTCTACCTCACTTCCACTGTACTTCGTCTCCTGATTTTGCTTTCTTAGTTCTTATGCACAGGGTCTGTCCTTTCTGATTTTGGGCTGATGGTTCTTCTTTCCTGTTGCCATCACTGGTTACTGGGCTTTCTGAATTTCTGGCTACTCTGTGGTGCAGTCAACATGCTGAAGAGAATGGGTGCCACGTAGAGGGACCTGGGCAAGCTTTAGAGCTGAGCCCATGTGAATGTCATGAATTTCAATCAGGCTTGAAAAAAAGTGGTATTTCTAGTGTGTTGTCAAAATTCAAGTGTTAACTCAGTTTCTCTTGAGTAAAAGTAAATGAAGCTGCATCTTATCTTTTGTTGTTCTTTTCTCCAGAATCGAGTATTTAATATTGGACATTGAATGAATTCACCTAGTCATGATTTTGAGTTCCTTTTTTTTTTCTTTGAAGTTGTACTTTTAAAATGTTACCTTGTTCATGTTGAGTAAGCTAAGTTGTTGTGAAGTGGGCGCCCTTCTGCTTGCATCAGAGGAGAAACAGCTTTTAAAGCTTGCAGAACTCAAATAAATTTATTCAATTCTCTGTGCAGGATTTGAAGCAGTGTCAAACATAGTTGGATTTTTTTGTTTGTTTTGTTTGTTCATTTTTTTACTGTTTTGTGCTGAAAGACTAGAAATTTCCAAGCACAGCTTGGTTTGATGAGTACTCTATTTTGATAACTTTTAGGAAATTTACCCTTTCAGCCTTCATAATTATCTTTATGGCCAAGAAAACATAATTTGTGGACAAAAGGGCTCTAAGAAAATTAGTATGGCTTTTTCTAGATACAAGTACTTTCCAAAATATTTAATCCTTAAGAGAAAGGTCACATATTTCATCAAGGAAAAATACTATTCATACCTTCAATGTTAAAAGCCCTAACAGGCAGTAGGGAACGTGTCTATCACAAGTCATAGGCCTTTCCTGAATAGTTACCGAGTTCTGTGTCAGTGTGGCTCCTGAATTGTTTGACTTAGACCATGAGCAGTTTGTTTGTGGGGAAAAAAATGTTAAAGTTGATAAATAAATTAATAAATAAAAAGAGAATCCACTACAAGCCCTGGTAAAACATTCTTATTGTTCAGAGAAGGTATATTTTCTTTCTTCCTTTGCTTTCTCTAGCTACATGCTAGCAAACGTACATAATAGCATAATTCAGTGGCTGGCAGCTGGATGTACTCTTTTATTACATTTTTATTCCATATGAGTTGATTACAGCCCATGATCTACTCATCACTTCATTTTCAAAGTAGCTGAGCAGATTCAATTTTCCATGGATCTGTTTTTGTAAATTATCTAGCGTCATGGCTCTTTTCTTTAGTGACATCCTCCTGGAATTTTGGCCACCAGGAACAGACATAATAATGGCCAAATACAGAATTTTCCTTTCCCTTGTCATTACTCTGTTATGCAGTGGGGGTTTGCAATAGACCTTTTGACTGCAGCAAAAGAAGATCTGCTTCAGCTGCTTGTCTGTCCTGGCCTACAAAACTTTGCTACTGTTTCTGAGCACATATCTTCCATCATAAAAGTGTGGCCTGTGTGATTTAGTCAAAATTTTAATCTTGAATGTGTGAATTTGGCTACTGTTAAAGCTTGAGCAGCTTTCTGATGTCCATGTGCCGTGCTGATGATCATGTATCAGCAAATCACACTTTTCTTCTCATTTCCTCTCCTCCCTATGATCCTCAGTCTTCCAGTGCGGGTCATTTTAGAGTAATTCTCCAACTGCAATGGATAAATTAAAGGCAAAGATTTAAAAAGCTTCCATTGGGAAGGCAGATTGAATGTCCTTCTGCTGAGTAGAATGCCTACACAAGTCATATCTCATAGTAGAAAGATATGCCACAACTTCTATATGGAGTATCCTCAGTGTGACTGTGAGTGTCATCACTCTTTACTATGTACGGATAAGTAAAAATTTCAGTGAAGTCAGGCACATTAAGCTGGTGTGTAAGAAATTGTATTTGATCTGCTCTGAGATCCCATTGGTTTAGAAGAGAAGATGCCTTTGTTGGATGTTGTACAAACTGTCCTTCTCCCACTGCAGTTGTATCATTTTTGTCATCTTGTAATCTGTTTAGTGAAACAAAAGCCCTCATTCTGATTTGATTTAAAGTAGCTACTGCCTCTAACAATTACGCTCATTTAATTACTGCTAACAGAGAAGATGGGAATTAAGTTTCTCAAAAAGTAAACCTGATTGTACTTTTAAGCTATCTGAAAAGAGTAGTCTGTGGCTGCTATATGGTAGTGTGTTTCAAAAAGTTACTTGAGTTTCATGGTTGTTTCTTGCACTTAGTTAAGGAATGTGTTAGAAGAAAGTACAGGAATGGGAGTCCATTGCACTTCCTAGGGTGAGGAGTTGTTTCTTTGTAAATGGAGCATGTGAACCGAGATGTTTGTTATGTTGGTAAACTCTTTCCCTGTGTTCTTCTGAGGATGTGAGTGCTAAGTCTGAACAAGGAGCACATGGCAACCTTTCAGTGGATGGTCCAAGAAGAATATTTTGGTGTCTGGAAGAACACACAGGAAAGCTTTCTATATCTTCTTCTACATGAGAAAAGTAAATAGCAAGAGGTGTGAAGGGAATTTCATTATTTATTAGGCGTGGTCAAGTTCTAAAACAACATTTAGTTCATATTGTTGGAAAATAAATCACCAGGAGCTTGACCAACAAAATTCAAGGTTTAAATATCTGTCTGAATTTTCAGCCATTCTCAATTTTACAAACAAAAATATTGTAATTTCATTTCAAGAAGTAATGCCCTTTCAACCTGTGTTGGCACGCTGGCTGATACTGCCTGCCCTGTTGCAGACAGTGTGGAACACCTGGGAAGGTGTGAGCTTTCCTAATCATGGCTGCAGAGATTAAACTGGTTGCCTGGACACTAATGAAAGTTAGCTGTTATACAGCAAGCTGGTAATAAGTTGAATCTGGAGTTTTGGTTTACTAGTGTAAATATTTCTTTATTTTTTTCATGGTTGTTTGGGTCTCTCTTCACTTTGCATCCTAAATTGTCTCTGCCTTCCCACTTTCATTCTCTAAAGTGAACAAATTATGATCTTTTCAGGAATGGCAAAAGCTTAAAAGCAATACCTGTGGCAGGATTTCTGTTTCAGGACATATATAAATTTGAGTTACTCAGTAGGATAACCTGTATTTAGCATGTTTTGTGTTCTGAGAGGATTTGAATGACACAAAAAGAAAAGCATATTTCTCTAAAGCTTCACTGAGTTCTGATCAAGGAAAATTCTGTTGCTATTCACTCAAAGGCCACGTATGCAGTTAGATGGGTTCTGAATAGCTGTAAAGCTGTATATTGACTCAAGTTGTAAAGGATACTTTCTCTTAGTATGGAGAAATTACTCATCTTTAACTTCAAAACTGAATGTTTACAGAGATTTTGGCAAAAAAAGGTTTATCCATATAGTATAGAAAATACTGTATAATGGTGGTAGAGGAGGCAACAGGAAACAGGCATATAAAAGTTCAGTAGTAATTTTAATAGCTAAAGACTGTAGGTTCCCTGTGTTTCTGCAGAGGCTATTTCTCTCATAAGAAGCAGCATGGACTTTTATAAGACAAGAGAAAGCCATACTGTGCCTTAAATTAAGACAATCCTGTTGCATTATTACAGTATGAAATGGGGGATATTATGCCTGGATATGATTTCTATTAGCTCTCAGGACCAAGAAATTAATCTCAATTTCTGCTCCACTTGCCTGCTGTAAGGACATCAGGAATACCAGGGCACGCCCTGCTGTGGCTTGGGTTCTCACTGTCTTTACATTGCTTTTATTTTCTGAGGTTTGGTGCTTGTTTTTTTCCCTTCAGTGTTTGAGCAGAAGTTGTTGTTAGTACTGTGGGTGTCTGTCCTGGGCTCTACCACGTGTCACATTTCCTTAAATGTCAGTTGGATAGTAAGCCATACTGCACGACATGTCACTCCTCCCATGACTTGACTTTTGACTCCCTGGAGCTTGCAAGAGCCATTAGAAATGTCTTTTAAATAGCTGTCAGTAAAAGCAGAAGTTCATCTCACCTACCTATTAAAGGATTAAGCAAATAAATGTGCCCTTCACGTGGTAAAGTAGGTCTTAGAATAACATTCTTTTATTTGTCTGCCTACACCCCAGTGCCTTCCATCCCAGGTATGTGAATTGGTACAGGAGCTACTCAGAGCATGTGGTAACAACTCAGGCTTGGGTCAATGGAGAGTTGCATCCATGCCCACGGGGATTGCTGCACCTCATTTCTGTGCTGTTACAGGCGTGTAAATAAAATGTATGATGACCAAGCAGAGTTGTAACAGTCTTGCAGCAAGTGTTGCAATGCCATGTAAAGGCCTTCATGCGTGCGTGGTTGGTTTCAGAATTAGTTTCTCTCAACCATGAAGTGATTACTGCACCTAGATAAAGCATAGGCTTAGTGTAGTTAGCTGGTGTTCATTTAGCCAGACATAAGTGTAACTTCTGCCTTGTGTGATTGTTTCTCCTACTGGTCAGTGCAGTACTCTGTGTCACGTGAGGAGCAAAATGCTGTTTGTGAGAGGCAAGCTGAGGCACTAATGAAAGCCAGGTTGTTGTTTATTTCGGGTGGAATTTGGCTATCAGAAATCCAGTATAAGTCTTTTCAGTATGCTGGATGTGGAATGCTCCTGTTGCTCACTGTAAATTGTATGGACAATGGTATGGGCAATGGGTGATATGATTAACGGTCAACTTCAGGCTTTCTCTTCCCTTTGATATCCCTTGTAGGAGGCTGCATGAGGAACATGGAGGCTGCTGCTGAAGAGCATAGTTAGCAGTTAGTTGGCACTTGTAAAGGAGAGTGAACCTCTCCCCTGAGGGTAGGAGGGAGGGAGAAGTGTGAACTCATCCTCTCCTTGGCGATGAGGACTGCAGGTGTCATCATCTGCATTACCTGAAGTCTAGCCCAGTTTCTATTGAAGCATCTGATTAATTTTTGGTTTCTCATTAATGTGGGTGTCGAACAAATTAAATGTGACCAACATCCCAAGAAGGATCTGAAATTTGTTTTCAGCTGAAGAGCTCTTTATACAAATGAACATCAATTTCTATAATTAAGCACACACTTTATTCCTGCTGAACACAATTGAACCTCGAGACAGAAATTGCCTCTTGCAGCACCTCTCTTAAACAGTGAAAACTGCTTAGGCCCAGCGTGTGTGCTCTTTTCCAATCTTTCTGGTGAGGGGTTAGTTTTAGAGCAGTTTACTATGATCTTCTTCAAAAGGTCTGTGCTTCATGTATTTCCTTACAGACTAACAAACAACTGGGTGTTCCTCTCCCTTTGCATCCCAATGATTTACAGTCTTTTAAAGTGTGTGAGATTTTATTTAGATAGGAGAACTCATCATAAAAAGTCGTAACTTGCTATTTTCACTAAGGGCAAGTTGTTGTTTTGGTTGAGTATGGTATTACACCACTGCATTTGTCATTGTCAATTTATGCCAGGCTTTAAATAGGATACTCTGCAATGAGTTTGTTTGCTGGTAGCCTGTAATGCTTTCAGGCTAGCTAACATTAACAAGAGGCAGCATTACTGTGGCTGATGTTCTTTTGATCATGCACAACCCTAGTCAGGAAATGGGTGAGGAGCGTGAGTCATGATTACATTACCCTAATGTGACTGCCTACTAGAAGTTTTCTTTTGCCGCCAATACTTTTTCCCTTGACATTACTTCTAAAAACAAAATGTGCATTTTGGAGCACTTTGAAATATTGACCTTTAAACACAGGGATTTATGTTCTTTTACAGTCTCAAGGCAAAATCCTGAGCTGGAGCCCCTGCAGAGAGCAGAGAGAACAAGAACGTGTGCAAAATGCCTTTTCAAAAAGCTGCTAAAGAACAGGAGTTGCAGTACATTAGGTCTGCTTGAGTTCATTTGATTCAGCATCTTTTTCTGATCCTTTAATTATTCTGTCATGCTGCCTGCTCATGCAAGCTCAAGGTCCGATCTCTGTGCACAGATGCTGTCATCTCATATGCCATTTGGCTTAAGCTGTGTCATACACACATGCTTATCTTTGGAAATATGGCTGCAGTAATGGGGAGAAAGTAGCAGAGTACTGGCTGAGCTAAAACCCCAAGTGTCAAGAAGGTGGCTTTCCTGGGACCTGGAACAGCAGTATTTCAATCAGCTTAATTAGATGTGTGGGGTTTACACATCTAATTCAAAAGAAATATCAGCTGCTAATCAGTCGAACTAGTTTTAGCACTGAACTGGCACAGTGCCACTTTGAATATTCTGCCAGTGTATTTCTATAGTGCTTCCAAACATGGAAAAAAACCAAGTATTGAGTATATTCAGTTCTTTCAAATTAGACTTGCTTAACTCTGCCTGGTTTTAAGAGCAGTATGTGAAATACAACTGTTGGCACAGAAAGTGAATGTAGTCCAATACTATCTGATATATTCCAGGAAAAAAGTCTGATTGATATAGTATAAGCTATTCAAGTTGACAGAACGGAGCACTTGTCAAAAAGAGATGTGAAGAGGAAATGGGGAACACTGAACTGCTGTCCAATGTGATGCAGCCCTATCAGCTGGGGCAGGTCACAGGCGTTGCTGACATGCTGCAGAGCAAAGACAGAATATAATGTGTATTTCAGTTGTCACTTACTCTTACCTCCACTGAGACTGCCTTCAAATAGTGGCATTTTTTCTGTTAGAAGTACAGCTTATGCTTGTAGTAAAGTAATTTCCACATTTTTCCTTATGTTTCTTATAAGGGCAGTAAAGCAAAATCACTTAGTTTACTTGTGTTAACAATCTACTTTGCACTGTGTACAGATGACCAGTTTTTAAAGTCTTATTAACTCTGTGATTTCATCCCCATTCTTAAGGAGGGCATGATTTGGACCAAATAAGAAATTCACTGAAAGCTTTTGTAATTAATTCATTGAATAATTTCCTTCCTTCCTTCTACCCCATCCCCATGCTCTTTGATCTCATCTTGATGGCCATTCTGCTCCTTGGAGAATACAGAACTGCAACAGAGCAGAGAATGCATCCTTTCCAATGTAGTGCAACAAGTATGTCCTGTGCAAATTTCCTCTGTAGTTCTGTACCTCTATTTCATAATTAACCTTTGTGTGTAGAGGGTTCTCTGGCCCTCAAGTTTGATTTAAATGAGTTTATCAGCTGTTTTAAGGTGGTAAATACTTCAAGTGAAACACTTGAGGAATTGAATAAAACAGAACTGGTGACTGTAATATGCCTATGTCACTTGTGTGTTTCAAGGAGATGATAAAGAATATTTGACTTAGAGATGAAGAGTATTTGAGAATTGGAGGAGAGGTGGGTAAAGGGCAGGAGTTGGGTTGAATGGGATTGTGCAAGATGGTATTATTTTTAGGTTGCCTTTTGTCAGGAGCTGCCAGTTAAGGAAATGTTAGAGATCTATTTAAAAAAAAAAACAAGAAAAATGTTCAAAATATCTTGAAAAAAACTTTGTTGTTAGATTATACCAGCTTTAGGAACCCTAAGACAGACATTAGTGGAAGTAGCAAGTCATTTTTGCATCAGAAGTGAGTAAAAAAAAATCCATGGACATTTTATCTTGCAGAAGTGTTGGTTGAGAATTGCTCATCCCTTCTGCCAGAATCCTTTGCTCTGAGCTGTTCAAATGACTTGCTGCAGCTGGAAGTAGCAGTCCCACTCCTAGCCAGGTGATCTTAAACCTCTTTCCTAGTTAGTTTTCATCCAGTTCAGTGAGCTGAGCTGGCTTAGAAGGGGTCAAGTGTGTGCATGCGGATGGTGGGAGGAGAATATCTTTGACAGTAAGTTATATTGGGCTTGAACTCTCTCTGGAAGTGTGTTACCAGCAGTCACACTGCAGCTGTTTGTAAGCCTTTACTGTAAACTGAGTCAGTGGGGAGAACTGCTGCTGTGCCCAGTTTGCAGTGTGGCTTGTAGATCTGCCTGCATGCTGAGAGTACAAGGAACTGCAGTGCGGATCTGGGAACAAACAGAGAGGAAACAAGGGCGGAAACTTCTTACCCCAGCTTTCAGAGCTGAGCTTGGCTGGAGAACTACACCCTCTGAGTTAAAGGAGAAAGCTATGTAGGTAAGCTGCTCAGAATTGCAAAGGGGCAGTCCTGCCGCTTCTGATTCTTCTGTCTGGCAATAACAGCACTCAGGTGAACATCTTGTGCATCAGGGAGCTTCTCTGTTGTAAAGACTAAACCTTCCTTCTTTCTTCTCTGGTGAAATTTCAGCCAGAGTGGCTATCCAGTCTTTTAGGTGGCATATGGGCTTGGTTCTGGAGGTGTGGGTTTTTCCGTCCCTTTTTGGCAATTTTTTTGTAGTGCTAAGGGAACTCATGGACAAGATTTTTAAGCCTCTTCATCTTGTGGCCTGTGAGTTTATGATCCCTGGCTGTTTGCTCATCCAATGTGCTGGCTTTATAGGAGGAAAGGTGACCATGCTTCAGTGTACAGTCTGGCTGATATAACATAACCCCACCTTCACAGACTGCATGAATTAAGAAGCATTTAGTACTTTGTACAGACATGTACCTATGCCTAAATTGGAACGGTTGCCCAATTTTTGAAAGCCAACAATAAAGCTGAACTATATGGTATTAAATCCACGTGTATTGAATGTACCAGCAGCTAGCAAAGCTAAGAAGAATATAGTAGAGAGCTGCTTCAGTCTATGGAGCAGACCAGCAGAATCCAGTGAGCTCATTAAATGTCTGTCTCTAGGGAAGAAAAGACAAGAGGTTTTTATTGTTCTAGAAAAGATGCAAAGTTTTCAAACCTAGGAGAAGGCTTTGGCCAAAGCTCGCTGGGTGCTTTTTTAATGGATATTTTTAAAAACATTCTAATGAGTGGTCAAAAGCACAACTGCAAAAAAAACCAACAACACACTGTATAAGGCATTTGACTCAGTATTGCCTCACAGCCAAATTCTTAAAACTTCAGTTCTCTGTAGTGTCAATAAAGAACATATTAAACACATTGAGAATCTTAGAGTAAATGTCAGGAGGACACTGGCATCAGAGAGGAATGTATTTCATTTGAAATCATCCAACAGTCTTATACAGCACTGGGGTTTATGGTGTTTTCTTGAGCAGTCTGCAAATAAAATTATTGCAGTACAAATATGCAGATCATGGAGACTGAGGATGTGTATTGATGAAGAAGGCGATTGAGCACATTCAAATAGAATGTTTTCTCTTTCTGAGTTATGGCCTTGCATTTTATTCTGAAGAACATAAATCCAGCTTAGTTTCTGGTGAACAATAGCTTGGAAAGCCTTTTTTTTCCCTAAAGAATATAATCTTACTGGACAAATGGCATAGTATGAGCACTACCGTTGGCTGTGCTGGCCAGATTTGCTGATTAGATGAATATATGCTTATCTCCATCCTTAAAAAAATGGATGGGGTAACTCACACTGGAGCTACGAATGACTCTGGTAACAAATTTCTAACTTTGCTAATAGAATTCATTCTGCTTGGAGAACTGTTTTTTGTTAAATAAGCAGAAGAAATCTTAAAGGGTTTGTTGTGCAGTACTACTATCAGAGAGCTTGTAAACACTGGAAAATTCCTGTTGTAAGATGGTGAAGATAGACACAGAAATTTGATCTTGTTTATAAATGAGGAGAAATAATGGAAAGGAAGAAGTGATTTTATTTTTTTGTGTGTGCTGCGAGGGAGTGTATGCTGCATGAGAATGTTGTCACTAATTCTGATCTGCTCTGAAAAGGCTGTTGGAAAATTGGAGAGGGTTCAAAGGAGAGAAAGCAATATTTGAAGGCCTAAAATTACTCCCCCACCATCACCACATGAGGAATTCCCCCTGTTCACTTCGATCAAAAAAGACTACTGAGAAATGACTTGGTTAATATTCAAGTACCTTAACAGGGGTGAAGGTTGCTGGTTGATAAAAGGCCTTTGTAATCTCACAGACTGATATAGAACAAAATAATAACTGGAGACTGGGGCCAGTTGCTCAAATTAGAGAGCAGCCCCAAATTAGGTGACTTCAGCAGCCCCTTCTAGCTGTGCTGGTACAGCTGTTTGTTTTCACAGTTAATTTTATCCTTCAATTATTTATAATTAGGTTGGCTTCATTTCAGCATAATGCACACGTATTTTAACGGTTTATAGTTGGAGGTATTTCTTTGTTAATATGATTTATTCTAGCTTGGTCCATTTGACAAGATATTATGCAGGGAAAGGTTGTTGAGATTTAAGGCAGTCAACAACTGAAAATAATTTCAGGAATTTGGGTTCTTTTCATTCATAAGAGCTTTTGGGGCTGGGTTGTGCTAGACAAATGGAAGACACCTGGAGGAAAAGACACTGTATTCAGTCTATCCCTGTCTGTGCTTACATTAAAGGACAACTAACGCCCCTTCAGGAGTGCTCATTATTTATCCATACAATTTACATGAGAAAAAGTTTTTATAGCAAGGGAGATGAAAAGGTATCCTCAGATGATTTTCTTATCTTGAGGAAGTCAGAAGGAAATATGGCTGACAATCCTCTGCTTTTTATTTATTATTTTATTTCTCTTTAGCTTGTGTTATGTATAGCTGACGTTTTCCAGACTTTTCTTGTTATTCAATAATATATCTATATTATGGAGTATATTCATGTTTCCTTACTCACTCCTATTAGTTACCTCCAAGCAGAAAGTTGTTTCAAAATTCAAACTACTGCAAGTAGTAGTAACTTGGAGTTTTTAATCTCTATTAATCTGGAAAGACATAGCAGGAGGAATTCTAGGGCTCTAGTTGTCTCTGTTGCAACATGATGTTTTTATGAATGATTCAAATGTATGCTTATTATATCTGTAGGTGATGATAAACCCACATAGTAGAGAGGCCCAGATTAAAATTTAAAATTATCCTCACAATTTAAAGTGTTTGCAATTAATAGAATGCAATGCAGTGAGTATTAAGGCTTTGCTGCGGAGGCAGTAGTCATAAAGAAGATGTAGAATAACTGGCTAGGCAACTGTTCTTCACTAAAGAGGATAGGGTTCAGTAGACCACAAACTAAACATAAGCCAACTATGTTGTGATACTAAAAGAAAAATGCAGATACGCTGTTGAGAGAGAAAATGAGATCTCAGTTTGAATATTGTCTACTTTGGGGCATATTTAAAGAAAGATGTGAATGAGAGGGAGGAGGACCAGAAAAAGAGATTGTTGGGAAGTGATCTAAGTTCCAGAAAGCATGTCTTGTGTTGAGAAATTGTTTACTATGTATAAAAGAAGGATGAAAGGAATTGAAGAATATGTATTAAAAAACAAACACAAAACAGTGTTTAGGGTACAAATTGATGCCTTCTGCCTGAAGACTAGCCTGTGCAGAGTAAATAACTGTGGGCAGTCTGCACATGTAGTGACTTTTAAGTGGAAAGAGAACAAACATCAGGGATTAGCAGGCCACTTAGACCTTTGAAGGAAAATGGAGACATGAATGAAGTGTACTGTAGAGTCCCTCTTGACTTGTGTTCCTGTAAGTTTGGGAGGAATGGGGATTTTTCTGTTTATTGTTCTTGTTGTTTGTTGTTTTGTTTTTAGTGGGTTTTGTATGTGCGTTTTCCCTTCATTTTCTAAAAGGCATATGTAAAAATAAGATAAAATAGGAAACTAGGGTGAATACAGTTGGAGAAGATTAGTTGCTCTGAAGTGTGATTAGCCTGATTGTTTTTATGGAGTAATTAAATCTGTAGCTTTAATCAGAAGGGTGCAAGTTCTTTGAAGAAGGGAGCAACAAAAGGGTAAGGGCTTTTAATCCAATCAGGGTGGTTGATTTTAATACAGATGAATTCAGAGGCTGGGCCTCCTAGAAACCAAGTAAACTTAGATGAACAATCTGTAGAGGAAGTGTTACTACCTGATTTGGTTATGCTTACTCAGAAAGTGGTGACTGTATAAGCAAAGACTCACTGATGAATTGATGTAGAAGTAGATGGACTAGTGGCCTCATTTGCAGAGGCTGCCAGTTGATAGACACCTACATCCACAGGAATGTGAGAGGTAAGCTCTGTTGTGCATGATCTGCTGATTTTCTTGTATCTGAAGACTTAGTTATTCGTAGTGCTGGTTAGTTTTACTCACAGTGACTGCATGACTTCAAGCCTCTATTATAATAACATTGTTTGTACTGATGTAGTTTCAGGCATATTGGAAGTATCAGCACGGACAAGGCGGGTTTCAAGAGTTTGTGCTGGTGAGAGCTACTGGTAGCTAAATTCCAGAATGAACCTCTAAAGCCTTATAGGTCTGTGCTTGCAGATATTTCATTAGATAGAGAAGTTTCACCAACTTACTGCATAGCTTATCTTGTCTTTTGTTGTATTGTTGTCTTTTCATTTAGTTATGTAAATAATGTACATATTGTCTTTTCTTTCCTAGTGACTTGCTCTATGTGATAATTCCCTGCTTTTTTTATGATGCTTTGCAAGTGGGTTCCTGTTAATTTTGAATGATCTTAGCCAATGATACGTTAGGCAGAATCCTTGCTAGGGACTGACCTAAAGAAAGCCCACAGGCTTCCCAGAAAACCTTGCTTCTTATCCTGCTCTGTGGAAAGAGGATTTTATTTCTATCATTTATTCATGTAGGACCCTGCCTAAGGACCTGGGTCTCTTGGGATTTGTGCACAAGTAAATTTTTGCATGAGGACCCTAATTTGTCTCTGGTTTGTAAGCTTAGATGTTGAGATACTTGCTGATAGCCTGTGGAATAGACTGAGGCATCCATTGAAAACTTCAAGCTGTGGGTAAGGTAGTTGCTGAGTGGATAGAAGGTTCACAAAGCAATTTGAGAAGTGCCTCTCACAATATTGGCCTTAGTTACCAAGCAAAACACTTAGATGAGAGTGTGAAGTGATAGGAATGAAAATGAGCTGGAGTTACAGCCAAACTAAAACTCTAATTTTCACTGGGCTGAAGTTTCTGTCTTAGCTCATGCTCAGATCTTGTTCAAAGAAGGACATCTAGAGATCTCCTAAACTGGTAGAAAAATCCTCTCAGATTATTCTCCTAACTGAAGTCTTCTACTGTAGGCTGGCAGTCTAAGGCTGTAGATTTTTAGTTATGCATTTGGTTTTCTGATAGCTTCTCATTCTGCTTTTCAGTTTGGTTAAGTGGTCACTTAGTCACTGAGATGAAATATATCAAAAAAAGGCTCTTCTAAAACAGCCAGCACAGCTTCACCAATGTCAAGGTGGAGGCCAGTGGCAGATGGTGTCCTTCAGGGGTCTGTCCTGGGACCAATACTCATTAATGTCTTTATCAACGACAGAGATGATGGGATCAAATGCACCCTGAGCAAGTTTGTTGATGACACCAAACTGAGTGGTGTAGTTCATACAGCAGAAGGAAGGGATGCCATCTGGAGGAACCTTGATAAACTCAAAAACTGGGCCCTTGTTAACCTAATGAGTTCAACAAAGCAAAGTGCAAGGTTTTTCACTTGGGTGGAGGTAATCCCAGATATGTATATAGGCTGGGAGATTAATTCCTTGGGAGAAGCCCTGCTGTGAAGAACTTAGGAGTCCTATTTGATGAAAAGCTTAGCATGAGCCAGTAGTGTGTTCTTGCAACCCAGAAGGCCAACTGTAGCCTGGGTTGTGTCAGAAGAGGGGTGGGCAGCAGGGTGAGGGAGTTGATTCTCTCCCTCTGCTTTGCCTTGTTGAGGCCCTATCTGGAGTACTGTGTCCGGTCTAACACACAAGGGATGTCAAGGCTTTCGAGAGAGTCCAGAGGAGGGTCATGAAGATGATCAAAGGGCTGGAGCACCTCTCCTGTGAATGGACGTTGAGGTGCTGGTATAGGTTGTCCAGAGAGACTGTGGATGCCCCGGCCCTGGAGATGTTCAAGACCAGGTTGGATGGGGAGCCTAATCTAGTACTTGATCTAGCAGTTGGCAATTCTGCCTGCAGCAGGGGGATTGGAACTTGATGGTCCTTGAGATCCCTTCCAACCCAAGCCATTCTATGATTCTATGAAAACAGCTAGATCAGAAAAGGGTCTAATTTTAAGACAAAGTAAACTTTACGGTGTAGCCTGATATTGAGACTGTAAAGTGTTCTGTTCCTTCTAAGCAGTATGTACTGGTAATTTCATGAAATTTTGCTGAATGCAGGGAGTAAGTTAAGCTTCTTGTGAAAATTTTGTGAATTATTCTTTTAGTTCTGAAAGAGTTAGGCTGGGAGCTTGGTCTTTTTGTACCTTTCTTCACTTACCAAATTCAGATTTTTATTTTCTTATTACTAAGGACTACTTTTTTAAAAAAATCCACATTGTATACTGATATCCTTACTTAATTACAAAGTAAGTATGAGTAAAAACAGTGTTTTAAGGTAAGTGACTGTTTTCAGATTGATTATATATTTCAGCTGGTCAGAGAGGCTTAAAATCTGTTCTTTGGGCAGCAGATGACAAAGAGGGTAAATGTGCAGAAAAGGAGTTGCTCTGATGTCTAGGTTATATTGTATGTTGGAAGACAGACTCTATTTAATACAGAGCCATTATCTTTTGTCTACAAATTGTAATCTCAGGATTTTCAGTGGGATGACTCATGAAATTTGCAGCAAAAGTAGCTTTTGTTTTTAGCAGAGCAAGTGCTGCTTGCAGTAAGTGTATAATTTTGAATGCTCTCTTCATATGCAAAATCTTTTTTGCACTAGCCATGTGGAAGGCAAGGCCTTCCCAAGAGCAAAGGCTGCTCTGTAAAGAGGGATTATAATTCCTGGCACTGAAGTCTCTTGTAGCATCCTCTGAGGTACTGTGGTTTTACACTGCCCCTTACTGGACTTTCTTATAGTGCAAGAACTTACAGCTATCTGGATGACCAAAAGTTTGCTCTATTTCAGGTTTTTGTGTGTTTTGCATTTTTGCCCTCTAAACTATGATTTGAATAAAATACAGAATTGGTCTTTCACTTTGAAACTAGCAACCACTAGGCTTCACTTTCAACCACATACAATCTCTGTAGAGTTGAGGATGATGTTCCTAAATTGGTTGCAATGGTAGAGTGATAACCAGGGTAAAGTGAGGGATGAAACAGTGTGGTAATTTTATTTTATTATTTTATTTCATTTTTTAAAATCTGAAAGGTAGCTGATTTGAGTAATCAGTTTTGTTCTATGATGCGTGGCACAAGCAGAGATCTTATTTAGGACTTCATAGACTGTAAGATGCAAAAGGTAGTTAAGTAGATGGAGTTTTGGTATGTAATGGGAATCTCCCACTATTCTGTAGATCCTAATGAATTAGCATTTTTCTGTTTAGAGGGAAGCTGTGCAGGATTGCAAGCAACTGTATTTTCAAAATTGAGCTTAAAAGTATCAGATGTTCTCTGCATTCATAGAACATTTGGCTTATTTTGTACGACAGTATTTTCTGTTTATATCTGTTGTACTTCTGTGTGAAGTGATTTTCAGCATTATCTGAAGTGCAGTAGATATTTTGTGGAAATCAAAAATCAAAATGCTAACTTGGCAAGATTCCCAGCTCCCCTTGTGATGCAGTGTTAAGCATCCAACTGAAGGAACTAATTACTCAGGTTAGAGGATTTGTGAAAATGCTTAAATACTTCTTGGCCATCTGTCTTTTTGCCAGTACAAAGCTTTCGAACTGATGATTCTTGCTGGGTTTAATTTGATGAAGGAATATCTCTGCTGGGGCACGCATCAAATGAAGCAAAAATATAGATGGCTTCTCTTCACGTATTGCACAGAGAGGGAGATGCATTTCTGTGGAAAAAACTGCAAGCTACTTCACAGAATTAGAATGGAAATGGACAGTAAGAGATTTGGGGCTGAGACTTTTAGTGAGGAATGGCCTGTAATGCTCTGCTCCCTGAATTGAATTGGGAAGAGTACAACAATGCCCACAATAAAAATGCTTTTATTCTGAGATTCTTACAGTATCCTTTATTGACTCCTGAGCAAAGAATCACACCATTAAAGCATTAGTAAAGAGTATTTTTTCTGTAACCAATTGACCCAGTAGCCTGTTAACCTTCTGGACAGCTTTATCAGACTTTTCAGAGACAAGATTCTAGTAGGAAAACTTTATTTTAAAATGGTTTGGTGTACAGAGCAGAGTCACCATAGCTTCATAGCCTACATAGCTCATGAGCTACAGTCTAAAACTAATTGCTGTGTAAAATTCCTGTAGTCTGAAGACTATGGTCACAGGAATCAATCCCTTCTAAAACATGTTCAGATATTTGTAACTGAGGATGTTGATCAATACTTTCATCAGATGCCTATAATCATCCTTTTACATTAGCACATTTATCAGAAAAGCTATTTTTGAGTTTGTTCCAATAATAAATGAGGATATCAAAAGTTCTCAAATTCAAGTTGATCTACTCCCATTAAAAATAAATAAATAAATAAATAAATTTATTGAGTGACTTTTTTAGTCTTCCTGGCTCTACCAAAAGCTTTATGGTATTGAGTGTTATAAATCAGTTTCTGCATTTGCACTTCAAGCCAGCATTTTGAATGTCAGAATGAGAAGAAGGATTCAGATAGTGATGTTTACCAAATGAACTGTGCTCAGCAACCGTGTCTAAGAAAGTCTGACTTCAAAACAAGTTATAAAGTCAGAGAAAGGTTAGCTAGCCGTTGTTAATCTTAAACCCTTTTATCCTGCCTAATGAAGGGAAGAAACATCATAATGTTAATCTGCAGACTGGAACTGTCAGTACCATTGCTAATTTTTTTCGTGTGTGTGTGAAAACAGGACTGAATGAACCATGAAAAATTAATGATAACCTGATTTTGTATCCCATGCAGGTCTTCTCAAGTTCTTGAAGTTGGATGTTTGGTTGCTAACTGGCCTGAAACTTGTGCACCATCTTGCAGAGTCCTCCAGCGGGAGACATTCACATACCCTGAAGTTCCCCACCTCAGAAGGGGACTTTTGATGTGCAAGATTGGTACAAGATGATGATGTAACATAGGTCACACTGAAGGTCTTCTGAGAAGAACTGTCTTTGTAAGGGACTTCTTCTTCTTCTTTTTTTTTTTTTTAAACAACTCCCCCTCTATCTACAAGCAAGATGCCAGCCAAGACACCCATCTACTTGAAAGCCGCTAACAATAAGAAAGGGAAGAAATTCAAACTAAGGGATATCTTGTCTCCTGATATGATCAGTCCACCACTTGGAGATTTTCGTCACACCATACATATTGGAAAAGAGGGACAACACGATGTTTTTGGAGACATCTCTTTTTTGCAGGGAAACTATGAATTATTGCCTGGAAATGAAGGAGAAACTAGAGTTAGCCAATCTGGTGGCCACAGTGAATTCTTAAGGGCAAACAGCACTTCTGAATCCATGTTTACAGAAACTCCATCACCAGTGCTCAAAAATGCTATTTCCCTTCCTGCCATTGGGGGTTCTCAAGCCCTTATGCTGCCCTTATTGTCACCAGTGACATTTAATTCAAAGCAAGAATCCGTCAGGTCATCAAGAAACCCACGGCTTAGCTGTGAGCCAGTAATTGAGGAAAAGCTGCAGGAGAAAAGTAAACAGACGGAGGATGGAGAAACATACAAAGATGATGTATGGGAGCAAAATGGTTCTTCTTCGCATTTTGTTAATGGTAGAGACAGTAACTCATCCAGCTTTTCTGAACGATGCACTGATTGGCAAACAGCTGATTTGTTTGAAGATAGCCGACTTTCGTGTGAACTAACCAAGACAAAGTCAGAAGAATCCCTTTCAGATCTTGCAGGCTCTCTTCTCTCATTACAACTTGACTTGGGACCTTCACTTTTGGATGAGGTCCTCAATGTAATGGACAAGAATAAATCTTAGAGCTGGTACTCCTTGCTTTCTTATAAGTGATTCACTTAAATAAAAATAAACAGAAACACAGTTCAAGAGAAGAGACACTTAAAAATCAGCTGTATTTGCAGCTGTTTGACGGGTTTTCTAAAAATATTCATAAAGTACTATTTTTTTACCTATTGTTTTTCATAATTTTTATGACACTAAATTCTCACAGCAGGAAGGTAAATTTTAATAACAGTTTTCAGCAAGTATAAAATGTTTTTAAGTACCAGTATAATGATCAGAAACTTAAGAAACAGAATTTGAGGATGATACTGATCGTGACATTTGGTTAGTTCACTTCTATGGGCTTCTGAACATATGAGACTCTGTAAGTGTCAGAAAGGAGACTGGTATTAATTATTCACTGTTATAAATTATTGCAACATCACTTTACATGTTGGCCTCTTTCAAGAACCTTGTGCTTGGGGTCTTGGTTGTGTTTTTCTTCATTTTCCGTAGTACCATTTCTGTTATACCTTCACAGTAACTATTTCTGCAGTCTTACACTGCTCTGTATCCAGATGTAAACAGTTGAAGGCTTTTTCAGCTTCAGAGTGTCAACTGTTCTGAGTATGCACGAATTTTCACAGTTTGAGGCTTTGGGCCTGATGTTGTATATGAAATGATGTGTTGTAAACAGGTGACACATGCAAAATATGATGGTTAAATTATTTTAGAAGTTGAAATATATTTTTGTGTGTATCTTGGCTTTTTATTGTGGAGCCTACACATACAGTATCTCATCAAAATAATTGCTTGACATTATTGGTGCTCTTCTGAAAATTGTATATTTGTGTGTTTGAAAAAAATATGTATTGATACTCCTTGCTTTTTTTCTTCATTTATTGCCACACATGCTTAAACTTGCAAACAAAAACTTTGATTTTTCAAGAAGGCACTGGTTATTCACAATGCTTGTGATGTGTGCTGCAACAGGCAATGTTTTGGGAAACATGGATCCTTTAATACAGTATCTACATGGATTGCATAGATACCTTGTGCAATACAATAAAACAAATTAAATTACTATGTCTTTGTGATTCAGTATATAGCCTCACAAAACCAAAAAACTTTGTATTCTGCTGTATTAAAACTGCAGTATTAAAACTGCAGTAGAGTTGTGAAAATACAGGAGTGAGGGGCAGATCAGTTCAAATATCTCCATTAATTTGACATCTCCAATCCAATTTAATTCCTTGGATAGTAAGGGCAAACTCCAGGCATGTAGGACCTTTTGGGATAACTGATTTTGTTAATTAGTAGGAGAGCACAGAGTAATGCTTTGGTATTATTTTAATCACAGTGAGGTTAATGAAGTTCCTGCAACTTTCAGTGAAGGCTGAAATCCTGATACAGTTTGTAAACCGATCCTGGTCTTATAACTACTTTGCATCTGTATCATTCCAATCAGAATGTGTAAATCATGGAGGATTTGATATATATCATTTCTATAATCAAAATTTCTAGGGAGGCAAGGCCAACTAATTCCATTCCTTCCATGTGTTACAGGAGCAATTTTGCCCATGATAGTCATTATTCTTTCCAGTCAAGCAGTTATATATATTACTGTGTATTGATGAGACATGCTTTCTTCCATGTTATTCTATTAAATGAGGAACTGGGTTACAGAATGCCCAAGAACTGGTTTTATTTGTAAGATAATTCTTAATTGCCTTCAACATCATATTCACTTTGTATAAGCTTGGATCTTATTTCCAGTGCATTCATGGAACAAGAACGGTGCTTCTGCCACTGTAGTAATTTTGTATTTTGAAGAGCAAGTTCAAGAATCTGCTCGGCCATGTGTTTTTAATGGGATCTACAGTTTTAGAACATAATGAGACTTTAGGCCAAAACTTTCATTGGAAAAATCCGTCAGTTAGCATAGAGGAAATTTGAGTGAAGTACAGAATTAGACATTTTCTGTGTAGACCAGCTTCAGCTGTCATGAGGGGGACACAAAGTATTTACTGAATGAAAAGTCAGTATTGTGCAGGACTCCTCATGTAGGTATTCTCTGGAAAGCAGAAACAGATTCTTAAAACTGTTGTTACAGTTGTGTTGTTTTTGCCTTGTCATGTTGTTTTCCTGGCTTAGTTCACTGAAAAATGTCTCCCCATTTCAGGTGTTTTCAGTCTGTGTTATCCTTCCTATGTGATTGCGCTTTTAAATTTGTGAATCCTTAGCTCTTACCATGAGGGTGGGTGGTCTGAGTTTAAAACACCACTTCAGGCAAAAAGAGCCACTGTGTTGTAGAGGAGCCTGTGCTCAAGTCAAGAATAAAATTTTTACACTAGCAGCAATTTCATCTTTCATATCACATTTCTGTCAGTGCCCTCAGGAGCTGCATTCCTGAATTTATCAGAACTGCTCAGCCATACCTGTAAAGGTTCTGAAGATGCAACTTCAAAACATGGCTTCTATCCTGATGTGGTCTTCTGTAAAATACTGCACTATGTAATCTGATTTGGCATCTTGGCTGTCACAACACTGGTTGTCAGCTCGAAACCTTGGATTTCTAGTTTGTGAGAAGTTTTGCCTTTCAGAGGAAAATGAAAAGCAAAATAAACCTCCAAAAGAAATCAAAAATAATGAGTAGGAAACATCCTGTTGAGGGTTCCAGGAAACCTGAGACGAGTTTGATGCAGTTCAGAGTTTCTTTTCAAAGTCTGCTATGTAAGTACACCAAGAAACTGATAACTTCCACAGCAGCCTTACTTTCTTCCCCACGCTGACAAAGCCATTTTATGTTAGAAAAATTTGCTTATTGATATTTGCTTGATTCTTGCTCTTCGAACTTTCATGAAGAGATGGTCTCCATTCATTTCACTTGCTTACCCATATGACTAGAAAGTTTGTACAGGACAGAACCACTTGGATATCTAGCAAATGGATATAAATAACCACACAGGATGTGAACATGACAGAAAAGGGCAGCAAATACAAATTAAAAAAAAAAAAAGCCTCAAGAGTGATAAACAATATATTGTTTAAGAGTGACTTCCTTCATAGTTCTTTTTCCTTTTTGCATTTCTTGGTGTTAGCAAGGAAGGCAGCTACCAGGGTTAGGGATGTTCTCTAACTTGTGCAGGAAGTTCTCAGGGAGCAACAAGAATAGTTTGAGGCCAAGTTTCAGAAGGGCTTAACTCCTAGGGCTTAACTCCTAGAAGGCGGATCAGCTCAAGAAGTTTTCATTCCACTAGAATTGGTGAGAGAAGGGACACTTCAGAATGGCTGTCTCTTTGAGAATGTTGGTCATGACCAGAATCATAAGCATCTTCTGATGTGCAAACCTAGCAGGGATGTTGTTGGACCCCACATAATAAGGCCAAATAAAGTTAATGTAATGCAAGGGAAAGCTAAGAAAGATACACGTTAGACTTTATTCCAAGGAAAGAAAATACCAGTTGTTGTAAGCAAATCAATTAAATAAACAGTGACCTAACTCTGTTCTGCTTGCATGCGTTTGCTTTTCATATAGGCACAAAGTACAGATTAGAACATCTATTCCTATGAGTGCCTTCATTTTATGTGTTTTTTAAGGAAGTTTCTGGGTCCAAATGGAAGGCTGAATCAGTCACTGTTTCTCTCTAGTTAGAATTTTGCTAGTGCTAGAAAATCAATAATGCACCTATTTCTTTGTTTACTTCTTAATAGTCATAGCTTTTTATATAAGGACTGATTTTCTGTAAGTTAGCATAATTCCCACTAAGCTGTGAATTCTAATATCCACCAGAGTATTTCTAGGGAGAAATAGATTTTCCAGAATATTTACACCTGAGAAAATATTATTTTTCACAACTTTATTGCAGCCTGACCCCACCATTCCTTCGGCTACTTCTTTTCATCATTGTCTAAGACAACCTTTCTTAGTTTGTGCTCTAAGTAACTAGGACTTGAGCTTTGTGGATGGTCAACCATTAGTCTGAGCTATGTTTACTTTGTTTCTTAAGACATTTATACACCTAGGAACCTCTCTTCTGTTATAACCTCCTGTCAGGATGCCACAGGAGCTGAGCAGAGGTGGAAGCCTGCACTCCCACAGCGTCGCTGGGCTGTGCTAAAATGGGGCCCTGAGTTTATGGGTAGAGGCAGGTGTCCCACGTGAGGACCCTGACATGTCTGGCAGATATTTGTGGGTAGTGCTTTTGACTTGAAAGCTGCAGTTTAACCTTGTCTTCAGTAAGTCATAAATAACCACAGAAGCCATCTAACATGTTATCTTGGCAGAGTGCAGGTGAAGGAGCCTTGGGACTTTCTCTATTTGCTACATTGGGTGGAACCATCAGGCAGGGAAAAGACAAATGACATTTACCCATTTAGCAAATTGCTAATGCTATGCCAGGGCGCCTACTGCCTTATTAAAAATGCTGTAGCTTTAAAGACAAAGTGCTGATCAATAGAAGTACTTATCTAGAAGAAAGCTGTCCCCACGTTTTGCAGACATAGCTATGTTTAGGTAAAAACTAATGAGTTAGACATGTCAGCAGTTAGCCCAGTGGATTTTTGCCTGTTCCTTCTTGCCTCCTTTCAACCCTAAGTGCTTGGAAGCCAGTCTCCAGATATTCACAGGACACAGTCACATTGTGTTATAAGATAATGTCTCATACACTTTCAAAAAAATCAGTGGATTTGATCATTTCCTTGCTTCTTGCCATTCTGCCACGAGTCTAATCTCTTGCACACATCCCAGGTTAGCTTGCTTACTTGTCACAAGTGAGAGCAAGTCAGGTTCAGACTCAAGCCAGAACCAATGAGCTGTAGTGGAAAACAAGCACTCAGAAGTTACAGTCCATGAGTGCTACTTGTTGTAATCTCAGCTGGAGTCAAACAGACCATCTGGGATTCCTGGGAGGAGGCACTCTGGAACAGGCCAGCTGCTGGGAATGTGAGGAATAATGCTGATTTGTCCTGCTGGACAGATATCTTGGGCACCAAAGAAGATTCACTGCAGTAAAGCAGTGGGAGATAACAGCTGTCCTTGGTGCATGAGTGATTATTTCTACCATTACTTGTGTTGTTCTGTTTTACTTTTGTTTTGTTTTGTTTTCCCTCTGGGCACACTTACAAATCCCAGGTGCTTTGCCACCAGGGAAGTCTGGCTCTCTATGGACTGCGCCTCTTGCCACACACTGAGTAGTTCTGCTTGTCATGGTCTGACCAACACCAGGTTTCCATCTGGCATAGAGAAGTTTCACACAGCCAACAACTTTACACTGCCAGGGCCTTGTGTCCCCATCCTTCTCTTCTCAGGCTTATCTCTCCTGAATTCCATAGCAGAATTTTAAAAGCAAATGGAGGCACAGTCATGGAAATGCAGGAAAGTTGTAGAAATGCTGGAAAGCTCTATCCCTCCACACAGCCCTACAAGTAGTTGTGTCAAATTTCAGCAAATCACTCAGGGGTTATAAAACTGAGCTGTATCTGAGGTCATGAAGTAATTTTGTGAGAAATATCTCCCAGGGTAATGGATATTTCCACTGACCTTTCAGAGGTCCAGGGATTCAGTGTGTCTACAAACACAGCTTCGGCGTTGTATTTAGCTTGGCTTCCCCCTTTCTCTTGGGGGAAGAGATATTTTTCTAGGTCTGAAGTGACACAGATCAGTGTTGCAGGAACATAAGAGCAGTACTGAAGCATATCAAACTCCACTTAGCCAACGTTCTGTTACTCTAGAGTGAGTGCCCTGGGAGGAGTACAGGATAGGAGATGCATGAATTAAATTTCTGAAAGTATTCACCCTGCATCCAGTAATCTGGATCACAGATTGGTTCACAGAGATATGTTTGTACTGAATAGTCCTGGATTGATTTCTCTCTTCAACAAAGCTGTGTAAACTTAAACATTCAAATGTCTTGCTTCAGTGAATAAGTAGGTTGATTTTACTGCATGTATTCAGAGTGATTAATAGTGGGATACTCATGTGTGACCTTGGCATTGGTCTGACCTTTTGTGATTTTTATTCTCACTGGTCTGTGTCAATATTCCCATCAGTCCCCATCCACAGCCATCAGTAGCAAGCAGAT